GTGTGGTGCCCAATTTTTTGCGCTTATTGATTATAGAAGAACCTGGTTCTTCTATGTGTTCCTTAACCTACTGTTATTGAAATAGTAAATGTGGAAACTAAAGAACACAAGTATTTTTACGTGAAAAACACCTGACTCAAAAGGTGAAAAAATCACGACCTACTACTCAGTAGGATTTTCCCTAATATTTCACTAAATCACTGATCCAAAACAGCATTTACAAAATACTTTATAAACCTAAGGATTAACTCTAATCCCATTATGACAACCAACCTCTAACTGTTGCGATAACTTCAAGTTAACTCTAACTTGAATACTCAAAGTACCTATTATAATTGCTTCTAGCTAAAGCTAAAAGGTACAATATGAAAACACCTACTACAATTGAACTAGAATAAAAGACAAACACTTGGAACTAGTTCTTCTATCGGGTTCATGTAGCTTCAGGTACGCATACTTGAATCACAAAAAAATTGCTTGCAAAATGCCTTACTATTTTTCTCTCAACTCACGTTTAACTTTAGCGTTTGTGCACACCTGTAAAGTGAGAACATCCTGCAATATATAGAGTTAGTAGATTAAGAAATAACTACAGTTCTAATGCTACTCTTCCTTGGTGGAAAAGTTCTAGTTGTTTTCAACTTCTAACTCATCCCTTATCTTAGATAGTGTTCTCTTTGAGTAAGGATTCCTTCTCCTAATCAATTATGCAACCTTTTTTATCGGGAGATATCAGATATAACTATTTAACCTTATCTCCCTCACGTGCATCCCTTGTGCTTGAATCTGCCCATGTCTATGTATATTGTGGACTGACTTGGTTCATGCTTGAGTTCCTTTGTCAATCTTCAAAACAAACTTCACTTGGGCCAACAACCATCAATCGAGCTTTATATCTGACCAACTTGTCATTTCCATATTTCTTGAGTTTAAAAACTCACTTTCACCTGAGTGGTTTTTTACCATTTGGAAGTTAATCGCCCTATACGTGCCATTTTTCTGTAGAGATTCTAGCTCTTCTTGCATGTCATTTTTTTAGCAAATACACCACTAGGCAGGCTAGCTAGTGGCTAATATATAAATAAAATCCCAAAATGGGTCCAAAACTTACAAGATATCCAAACCAAAATAGAAGTTGCATGAAGCTACTAGCTACTAAAAAGATAGAAAAACTAAAGTCTAATGAACTAGCTATTACAACATTGTCTGCTGAATGCTCCCTTCTCCTATTAGTGTATATGAATCCAATTGCCACAGGCAAATACCAAGCAGCACCTATCAAGCTCTCACCAGGCACCAGGGTATGTAGTCCATAGGCTAGAATGAATTCGAAACATCTCCACCACAGAATTGAAGCCATCATAGTCTTCTAATCATTAGTGTTGCTACAATATGATCTCCATAGGCAGTTTACTAACTCTATCCAAGTATAAATCATGTGGTCGATCATCAATATTATCATGTGAAAGAGCCTGGCTACACCTGTTTTGAAGCTGGCTTTAGGCAGGCTTTACAAGGCAAAAGCCAGGCTGGGGCTGGCTTTAGGAAGCTTTGCAAGGCAAAAGCCAGGCCAGGGCTGGCTTTAAGCTGGCAACGCCAGGGTATCATCAGGCTTTAGCCTGACGCCGCCAGGCTTGTGGAGCTGGGTGATTTTATGATCTTGTAAGATCAGATCCTTCTCTTCCCGAATTTTTAATGTAGAAATCATTCTAAACCTTACTAAACCATCCTTATATTGAGAATGAAGATATGATAATACCACTGAGAAATGATTCAACAATCTCCAAAAATTCCACATAACATATTCAACCTTTTCTTTAACATTTGAACATATCAGAAGTAGAATAAATTGCACCATCCAATACCTACTTATCACATTGGCCTTGTACACTATCAAAGCACCCCAAGAATGAGCATGTTACCATGATAATACCATTGGAAAGTACCTTATAGCATATAAAATGAGACATAAAAGAAACACGCAAGTATGTGCAGATTCCAATCCTGTGAAGCCATCAGTCTGGGGCTCTTCTCTTTGCTATTCTAACCCTAAGGTTAGGAGTTTGAGACTTGTGTCTAAATTAATTAACCTCCTCCCTACACTAGGCAGTTCAGAGAATGAGTGAAACTCGGATGTACTTGCAAAAAAAACACAATGTTAGCTATAAAATCTGCCACTAAGTTTCCTTCTCTAAACACATGTTGAAAGATCACATTGAAGTTTCCCTTCATCTCTATAATTTTCTTCACATCATATGCAATTACCCAAGGATGATCCCATTCCCCTTCCATCACTTTCTTCATCACTAATGAATCAATCTCCAATATGAGAGGGTGAAGATCATGCTCCACACAGTATTCCAATCTTTGAAGAATAACCTTAGTTTCAGCCACCACATTAGTTGTCACCCCCACGTCTACTGCCTTTCCATACATCACATCACCTTCATCATTCCTCACACAAAAGCCTAATGAGCTAGGACCAAGATTTCCTTTTGAGGCTCCATCAGTATTGCATTTGTACCAACCATGAAAAGGAAGCTGCCATGTTACTCTTGTAGTAATCAATATAGGTTTATATCTTTCAAAATATTGAATTATGTCTAGCCATAACAATGGAATATTAGGCATCTAAGCATACCTCACCCTTTCTAGTTGATGCAATGTCCTATTGATCTCATGAATCACGCTATTTGTGCACACTGAACCCCTATGTTTACTTGTATTTCTTCTCTTCCAAAGTTCCCAAATGATGATAACTGGTAATGCTTGAAACAAAGGCTTTAGATTTGGACAACATTGAGCATACCACCAATGCCTTATAACCTGCTTCAATTGAATCAATGGCACAGTAATTCCAGCAGCCCCCATGAACAAGTTCCATACTTGTGAGGCAGTAGGACATGTGACAAATATATTCTCAATAGATTCCTCTTAGGGCTGCTGACAACAACAACACCTAAACATTACCATTTGCCCTTGCCTCCTCCACATGTCGTCAGTGGCTATTTTCTCTCTCCACAATCTCCACAAGAAGAAGGATATCTTGAATGATAAGCCTTTAATCCACATTAACTTGAATTCTTGATTAGGATAAGCCCTATGCCTTAATATTTGCCAAGCACTGCTATCACTGGACTTGCCTGAAGGAGTTGGCATCCATTATGGCCTATCCTAGTATCCCTCACTACCTTCATAATGCATATTTAGCCTTATATGTTCTGCAATTTCCTCATTGAAGGTTTGATTTAGTAGCTGATCATCCCATGTTTCACCTTGCCATAATTCTGCCACATCATGAAGATCTTCATTGATTGGAAAGTCTTCAGGTAATACATGATAAAGTGCACCCAATTCAGTCCAATTTTCATGCCATATATTAGTTTTTTCACTCTTCAATTCCCATAAGATCTCATGTTCTACTTCTTCCCTAGCATTTAGCACTTGTCTCCAAACATGAGACCCCTTGTAAACTGCACCACCATTGGTATCTCCTTCTTGCAATACTTATTCCACATGAAATTAGACTACAAATTTTTTTTGATCCTAAACCTCCACCATAGTTTAGCAAACAATGCCCTCGATACATCATGTAAGGACCCAAAACCTAGGACTCCTTCCTCTTTAGGAAGGCAAAGATTTTGCCTTGAGGCCCAATGTCTGCTTCTCCATTCTTCCTTTGTGCTCCAAAAGAACCTAGCAAAAAGCTTATGAATATGCTCTAGGACATCTTTTGGGGGATGAAGGACTGATAACTTGTGGACTGGCATACTTTGCAACACACTAGTAATGAGTGTTGCCTTTTCTCCAAATGACAATAGCTTTCCTTTTCGTGAATGCAATTTAGCTTTTACTTTCTTGATAAGATCCTCATAATATTTCTTCCTCCTTCTAGTGTAGAAAATAGGACACCCTAGATATGTGAAGGGGAATTTACCTCTTTCAAATCATGTAATAGCTCCAACCGCCTGACATAATCCATTAGGAATCTTTGAATACATAGTATGAACTCTTATCTTTGTTGATCATCTGGCCTGATATCTTCTCATAGTTCCCCAACACTGCCATAATCTTGCTCAAGGATGGAGGATGAGCAGAAGCAAAGATTATAGTATCATCAGCATATGCCAAGTGGTTTAAAGGATCAGACCACTTAGGCATTCCAAATCCCACAAATGACCTGTCTTCAAATAGCTTATTAAAATACATGGAAAGTACCTCAGCTGACAGAATGAACAATTCTGGTGATAGAGGATCCCCTTGCTTCACACCCCTTATAGACTTAAAGGACCATGAGGACTGCCCATTCACCAATACTGAGTACCAGTTATTTGACACCAAGTTCCACACCATATTAATGAAGTGCTTAGAAAATACCATCTTCCTTAGTACATGCAATAAGTACTTCCATGAAACCCTATCATAAGCCTTAGCCGTATCAAGCTTGATCATCATATTAGCTGGCTTTCCCCTTAACCTTATATCAGTGACAATTTCTTGAGTCAATAAGATATTTTCAAATATACTCCTACCCTTCACAAATACGGATTGATTAGGAGATATTAGAGAAGGAAAAAACATTTCCAATCTATCATGTAACACCCTAGACAAGACCTTGTTAATGAATTGTTCAAGTTAATAGGTCTTAAGTCAGAAAAGGTCTCAACTCTAGGTTTCTTAGGCAGCAACACTAGATTGGTATGAGTGATGAATTTAGGCAGTGCAACTCCTCTATAGAAGTGTAGCACCATGTTGTGTATAGCAGCACCAATAATATCCCAGCATGTTTGATAAAACAGGCCACTGAATCCATCTGAACCACTAGTATTCTCTCCACTAAGCTCAAACACTGCTATCCTTACCTCAATTGTTTGCAATCTGCTAAGTTCCAAATTTTGTTCCATAGTGACCATCGAAGGTACATTATTAAGCAAGAAAAAGTTAGATGTATCACCTTTATTTGTAAACTGTTTTTGATATAAGTCCACTGCAGTTGTAGCCTATTGCTCATGGTCTTCAATCCATACCCCATTTCCACTTTTGATCCTCTTCAGTTGTAATTTCTTTCTTTTGCCATTGACATGATTGTGAAAGAAACTTGTATTCATATCTCCTTCAGCAAACCAAGTCATCCCAACTTTTTGCTTCCAATACTGCTCCTCAATACTCAAGTATTTCTTCAATTCAGATTGAGCCTTTTGAAGCACAATCCTGTTCTCAATTGTAGGCTCTTCTTCAAACAACATCTCTTTCAACCTAACAATGTCCTCCAAAATAGCCAACTGCTTGAAGATACCACCAAATATTTTTCTACTCCATTTGACAGTGTTGCCTTCACCCTCTTGAGCTTCTGTTTGAACATCAAAAATGGATCCCCTATGAAATCAGCTTCCCAATTCTGCCTCACCACATCCATAAATGTAGCATGTTTAGTCCAAAAGTTCAAGAACCTAAAAGGCTTGACAAAATTGGTGATCTGCTCCCCACATGTCATTAACAATAGTCCATGATCTGATCCAGTTCTGATTAGATGTTTAACTTCAATAGTTGGCAATATGTTCTGAAATGGCAAATTCGCAAAGATCTTATCCAATCTTTTGAATATACACGCAACATTGGATCTCCCATTCCACCATGTAAATGGACTTCGTTTGTATCCTTGCTCAAACAAACCACAAGAGTTTACACAAAATGCAAAATCCTCACATCAGGAGGGTGTACTGGTAGTCCTCCTATTTTCTCTTCATGCAATATCACATTGAAATCCCCTCCTACCAACCATGGCAATTTCATATCACTTGCTAAGTAATACAAGTGATCCCACAATTCCAACCTCTCCATTGCTGAATATTTTGCATAAATAAATGTCATCATCATGTGCTGCCCCAGGTCATGGTAAAACACTCTCACAGTCATCTGTTGCTCAGTATCCCCCACTAATTCTCATTCCACTACTGCATCAAAGAACAATTATATTTGCATAAGCAGTCTCCATCTTGCATGTCATTCATCCACTGGTTCCAGTTCTTTTCTGTATGGGATAACACCTCTTAAGATTTTCCGGCCGCTTTCCTTCATCACTGATGAGGACATACAGTGTGGAAGGGTACTTGCATAACTCTACCCTTAGCCTTTCTAATTTCCTTAGAGGTTAAAGTTGTTCTTCTTCTTGAGTAGGGTACTCCACTGCTCGACATTATCATCAACTTGTTCCCCCTGCTTAACAACCTCATTAGGTTGTTTTCCCTGCCCGGTAACCTCTTCGATCGTACTTTCTATATTGTGCTTAGAAGTAGAAGGAACTGCTAAAAGGTTCTGGAGTATACCATTCTTTTTCTTGCCTTCTTAGACTGATCATTAACAGTTTTGGAAGATTACGGCTCTTCTTCTGAAGACCTTATTCTTAAAAGGATTCTACAATTTGTACCCGAACTCTTCAACTCCATGTTTGAATGCTCTTGAATCCAAATTGACTCGGGATCATCTTCCAACATCGTTACAAGCACGTTAAAATACTTGTGAAGCATTTCCACGCCATTTTGCTATCTTCCAACAGAATACACTTCTTGATCTTCAATTGTAGTAGTCCAGGTAATTCTCTTGAAGCTCTTTAGTATGTGACCTCGCGTCATAAGACGTCGAGATGACTCCTTAACACCTATGTTACGTTTTGGTGAGCCATCCTATGTGTTATTAGTAATCCCCAAATCCAAATAGTCAAAGTAAATAATTGACTCATAGCACTATATTTGACAAGTTACACATTTCTTAGGTTTTTACCTGGGAAAATTTCACATAAGAACAACTGGGATCCCTACTTTTTAATTTTATAGCCCGTATTTCAATTTATAACCAACTAGCCCAAAAATAATAGGTTAAGATTCAACATCCAACTCCAATAGGTTCTCAAAATTACTTTAATTTTTTAAAAAGATTGCTCAAGCTTTTAAGGTAATTTTCGAATCAGTAACTGTAGCTCAAATATTAGTTCAACAAACCAAATCTATTTCGGCGGTGAAAATTAGATTTTTAACAAGCTTAAATATGTGGGTTTAGATTCCGAATTTGATTTTGTGAGAAATTTGGAGTGGGTATTATCTAGAATTGTTAAAAATAGTATAAATAGGTTGTATATAAATTTTGAAGTCATTTAATGGAGATTTGGACTGATTTTGAACAAGAATTGCTACTGAAAATCGTGAAAGAAGTTCGTCTACAGATGCTTGTATAAAGGTGTATAAGATATGTTTATACACTCATATACACTATTATACAAGATTATACAAAAAAAAAAAAAAACTAACTTCGTCTTCTTCCTTGCATTTTTTCTGAAATTTAACTTAAATCTTACTCAAATATACTCCAAATCACTTCAAAATTAAATTTTGAACTCCTTTTGACATTTTCAATCAATTGGAACAACACTCAATCCAAACAACTAACAAACTCAAAAAAACTTATTTTTGAAAGCAAAGCTTTGTATGGCTTTCGATGGTGGAATGTTGCATCTTCAATTTTCTTACATTGCAACCAGGTGACACAGGGGAGAAGCAATAATGGCAGACGGCCCCTTGAAGCATATGTAGAAGATGTGAGAAGAAAAGAGAGTGAAAGCAATGGTTTTGAGAACATAGATTTAACTCCATAGCTTTTAGAAGTAATGGTCGTAAGAAACAGATTTTGAATTTGCTAGTGCTTTCAAAATATGTATAATATGGATTAGGTCGGGTAAAATATAAAAATATGGGTCATTTTTTGTTATGGTGTGATATCAAGGTGTATTTTGTTGTAATTTTTTCTTTTTACCTGCATCGTGTTTGGAGCACTTACAGGAAAATCAAGTGATTTATGTTATAGTATTGGAAGCAATCATCTCTATTAATTGGCGGTGCCCTTTCGCAATAACACTATATAAATAATGAGAAAAAGCTTTCGCTCCCCACATAAAATATTTCGTTTTCGTATTAGAGGAAAGTCAAGTTTGTTTGACTCTAAATCTTTCGCCAGAACTTTAACATGAAACTAATTAAAGAGTTCCACGTGGTACATTCAAATGATATTTAATTTTAAAAAAAAGTGTTAAAGTGTAAAGAACTATCACGCGGTACTATTCACATGGCATTTATAAGATATGTTGAATTAGTTACTAAAAGATACTATGGATAAATGTCTATTGATAAAGTAGGTCACACAATTTGAACATATTTCTTTCTCCAATTTGAACAGAATACTGTGCCAAAATTTGTGAATGAATAGAATAGTAAGCCACTCGGATTCCTCACTATATATATATAGTTGAACAAACTAAACAGTAGTAAAAACCAATGTCAAGTAAAATGTAAGTTGGAGCGTTAAACAGCCACACAACAATGGATTTTAAGAACCCGGTCAAAAACTAGTCACTATATTCTGTATGCACTACTAACCTTTGGTTTGCTGCTTATTCTCCTCATCAGCTCTTCATGTAAAAGCGGTAATTTAGCTCTCTTTCCTTTGCGGAAGTCCATATGCCAACCTTCAAATATAATAAACAATCTTTCTTACATAAAAACCTAATGGAGATGACCTTGAACTAGCTTTGGCCGGAGCAGCGACGGAGGACAAGACGGTAATAGTTACTGTTATAAATAAAGCATACGTAGAGGGAGATAAGCCGATGCTGGATATTTTCTTGGATGGTTTTTAATTTGCTTGGAGAAAGCACTGGGGAGTTATAAATCAAACAGCTGTTGATAGTTGCGATGGACATATAGAAACTGTACATGTCTGAAGATTTTATCAAGATGATGTGGAGAAGAACTTTGTTCTTAGGTGATGTTCTTAAGCGAGGTTACAACTTCATCTTCACGGTACGNACATAGCAATTACTGGGGAATGAAATAAAATACAGTAACTGTCCGGAATACAAGTGTACAGAAATGAAAATACAGTACAATACTCTGAAGGAGACTCTACTAGCTACGGACGTCTCGATAAATGCAACTCATCTAAGTCTCTGTATCAACCATGTCGCTATGCCACTAAGCCACTAGACACATATAAACCTATGCAACAAAAATGCACAGCAAATGTAGTATGAGTACGAAAACATCGTGTACCCAATGAGTATCCCGTCTAATCTCGAAGAAGTAGAGACGAAAGGTCGACTTCGACACTTACTAGTGGTCCAATAGTAATATATTATTAATGCAAATAATCATGAATTTATTAAGAACGACAGTATTTTCAAATAAGTCACGAACAAGTAAAAGTTCCTTTTTATATTAAAAATCTCCGTATTCATAATCTATTAATTAACTATTATCTCAAGTTGGGGAGAGCAAATATCAATAACAATAAATTTCAAGGCAAGCAATATAAGCATGCGCAAATCATGTCGAGGTCGTACGACCCGATCCAACAATATTTAAACTATGCACTACCAGAGGGTCGAATGGCGCGACTCATAGATGCATCTATTTAATCTGCCAAGGCGTTCGGCCCGTTCCGAAATTAAACACACACAGACAGTCAATAAAGAAGTCAACAGGGAACAATTATCCAAAGAAACGCCAATTCTCTTTTAAAGATTTTGAAAATGAAGTTTAAATCTTTTTAGAAATTCATTTATTAATCCGATATGATTTAAGCAATTCAAACTGTCAACAAGGTTACAAATATTTCAAGTATAGCATGTTTTTGGGTCCTAGACTACCCGGACTTACACATAATAGAAGCTACGCACGGACTCTCGTCACCTCGTGCGTACGTAGCCCCCACAAATAGGAGCACATAACCAATTATTTCACCTATGGGGACAATTCCCTCTTACAAGATTAGAAAGGAGACTCACCTCGCTCCAAAATTTCCATAACCGGCTTCCAAGCCCTTCCAACGACTCCAATTGATGCACAACGCCCTAAAACTATTCAAACAACGGGCAAACCAATAAAAACTCACTCTAATACTTGTAACAATTCAAATTATATAAGTTCCCATCTCCGCTCGAAAAGTTGACCAAAATGCCCTCGGGCCTACGTGCCCGGATTCCAAAAATTTGTGAAGAAAATTGTTACCCATAACCTAAGGATCAAGAATATAGGATTTTTACTCCATTCCCTAACAAATTTCATGGTTAAATCTTGTTTTTACCAAATTCTAGGCTTTTCATCTAAAACCCTTGATTTTCCCTAATTTTCACATGTTAATCTACCCAAAATCTATGTATTTAACTTATGATGTGTAGAAATTACTTACCTCTTTGATGATGATGGAATCCCTCCTCAAATGCTCTCAAAAATCGCTTAAGGCCAAGTGGGAAATAAGGGAAATGGGCTAAGCCTCAGAATAAAAAGCCACAGCACCAGACGCAGAAGTCGCATTTGCGACTCCCGGCTCGCAATTGCGATGGTCGCATTTGCGACATAGGCACCGCAAATGCAAGGCCCAACTTCCCCTGCTATGGTCGCATTTGCGACAAAATTCTTCGCAAATGCGAAGAATGACAGCATCGCAAAAGCGATGGCCCCCTCGCAAATGCGACCCCCTGAGCAGCCCCAAGGTTCGCAAATGCGAGCTCCCTATCACAAAGTGATGTCACATTTGCGACCAAAACATCGCAAATGCGCTCATACCAGTACTAGCGACATCAAACCTTCTCCAAATTCCATTTTTTGATTCGTTAACCATCCGTAATCCACCCGAGGCCTCCGGGACCCCAAACAATCATACCTATTAGTCCCAAAACACATTACAGACTTGCTCAAGGCCTCAAATCATATCAAACAACTATGAATCGCGCTCCAATTCAAGCTTAATGAACTCTAAAATTTCAAACTTCTACTTTTGGTGTTTAAACCTATCAAGTCACGTCTGATTGACCTCAAATTTTTCACACAAGTCATATTCGCCATTATGGACCTACTCCAACATTCGGAATCAGAATCCGACCCCAACATCAAAAAGTAAAATCTCGGTCAAACATCCCAAAAATCTTTAAATTTCTATCTTTAGCCAAATGACTCCAAAATGACATGCGGACCTCCGAATTCACTTCTAATCGCACTCCCAACTCCAGAATCACCATACGGAGCTACTCCTAGACTCAGAATCCCAAATAGACAACGATAACACTGAAATGCACTTCAACCCAAACTTATGAAATTTCTTCCAAAATGCTAACTTCCACAATCGGTGCCAAAATGCTCCTGGGTCATTCAAAACCCAATCTGGGCATAATCCCAAGTCCGAAATCATCATACAAACCTGTTGGAACCTTCGAATCTCGATTCCGAGGTCGTTTACTCAAAAATCCAACCTTAGTCAATTCTTTCAACTTAGAGCTCCGGAAATGAGAATTCTCTTTCCAAATCAACTCTGAACTTCCCGAAATTCAATTCCGACCGTGCGCACAAGTCATAATACCTAAAGTGAAACTGCTTATGGCCCCAAATTGCTGAACGATGCGCTAGAGCTCAAAACGACCGGTCGGGTCGTTACATCCTCTCCCACTTAA